TCGGTGGTGGTAGTAGTAGTAGTAGTAGTAGTAGTAGTAGTAGTCTTGGTAGTAGTAGTAGTAGTAGTAGTAGTAGTAGTAGTAGTAGTAGTAGTAGTAGTGTTAGTGGTAGTGGTAGTGGTAGTGGTAGTGGCAGTGGTAGTGGTAGTAGTAGGAGTGGTAGCAGTAGTAGTAGTAGTAGTAGTAGTAGTAGTAGTTGTAGTAGTGGTGGTGGTGGTAGCAGCACGAGCAGCAGCAACCGCAACAGCAGCAATAGCAACAGCAGTAACAGTAGGAGGATTTCATTCCTGCTGTACTCTGATGGCCGAAGTGTCACCACACTAAATTTTTCAGGCCATTTTTGTCGATGTCTCGATTGGCATTGCGCGTTTCAGCTGTGCGTTCTGTTCTTCTGATTGGTTTTGTTGTTTAATGAATGGTACCTGTAGGACGTGGTTGTTGCTGTTGTGCTGCTGCTGCTGCTGCGGTTTCGTTCTGACAATGCATGGTTCTAAGTGTTCTAGCATAACTTTGTCTTCGTTGCCATGAGCCGTTCAGCATGGCTATGACGGCTTGCAACTCCTCGGACTCCGATTCTTCAAGTTTGTTTTTTAGCAAGCGTTCAGTTCTTGTCGCACGCTGCACACCTCCCTAGAGGGAGATACTGTGCAGAATCCAAGGCCACTCGAACAGGAAGCAGACGCCGAAACTTGGCGGAAGTATGCTACTGCTAGGGTAGCCTTGTGGCTCCCACTGTTTGACCTTGGCTTTGTCCGTCCAGTCACCCAGCATTCCCAAGACCAGCCCGGTCCCGCAAGCAGCGAGGCATGCAGGGACCCTGCTCCTGGAGGAGGTCCCCTCTGAGTCGGACTCGCCTGGGATTCGAGAGGAGGACGTGGATGCTCTTGGAAACTCGAAGTGTCCATTCATACTTACTTGAGCGTGGGTTGCACAGAGGAACGAGGCCTAGTGGCAAGCTCTTGTGTCATATGCAATGCAAGCCACCGCGTCGGGCCGGGTGGGTGGTGCGATTACTGGCAGTGTTCTTGAGGCGGTGCGATTTGACGGGGCGTTTGGCGCAGCTCTTTGCCTGATAATCCCATCCGGTTTGAAGGATTTTGGCCCACCAGTGGAGTCCAAGCGCATGCAAGGCTGGCAACTGAGGGTGGCATGCTCAATTCTTTACAAGTTCTCTTCTCAACTCCCCAAAAGGTTTGCACCATGCCATGCTACACCCAGGGTAGGAGATCGACAAAGGCCTGCCCTAGTCCAAGATTGTTCCATGCCCTCGTCACCGCGCAACTTCTAAGAAGACTATTTTTGCGGAGGAACTCACTGTCAAGAAATGCAACCGAGACTTGAGCAAGCAGTGTTAGTCGGCGGCGGCGGTTCGTGGAGTTCATCATGCGCTGACCTTGCTTCCATCCAAGAAGGACAGTTTCACACACTCAGTAGCTTCCCTGGGGAATATGACGGTCTTGCTGTGCTGCGCGTACCAAGCAGACATCAAGCGAAGCCCCGAAAAACAAGGACAAGCCAGTCAAGGGAAGCTCTGATTGAAAAGTCCATGCCATGAAGCTTTGCGTCAAACCGAGCCACAAACGGATGAATTCGATGTCCCAACATTTGAGACTACGCCGTTCGCTTGAGATGTACGGCTACACAACAGCGTTCACACTTCCCAGGTTTCGGAAATGTTATTCAACGCTCTCCGTTCCATGAACGCGAGCATACCCAGGTCCTGGACATTCTCATGCAGATAGCTGGAATGTAACATGCTGCAATCAACACGCTGTAGCCGAGTGCTCGTCCAGTCTGGTACCAAAATGCCGCAAGCACGGCCGCAGGACGTCTGAAGAATGCAAGGTCGAAATCAGCGCCAACCCTACAGGCCAGTTCTGGCAAAAGCCGAGCAATCGGTGCGACCCAAACCTGTCCACGCAGGCCCACGCAAGAACAAGCACAAGAAAAGAACTCAGTGCAACGCGCAGCCTTACGCAAAATGACGGCCACATCATCTCCAAGAGACAGCCACCACATCCTGCATGCTGGCAAGCATTGCCGGGATCAGTCCGGCTTACGCTATCCCCATGACAGACAGGTGTCCCGGTGCAAAGTCATGCCAAGCCGATGTGCTACTTCACAGCACCATCGAGAGAGTGACAAAGCTCGTCATCCTAAAATTCTTTGTGCCGGCATGCAGCCTGAGAACGGTCGGCTGTAACAACCAAACCTATGTTGTCCATGTGTTAACACTGTGGCTGTAACATACAAGTGGTTATGAGTGCATTGCCACATGTGCAGCTGCCACATGCCATCGTTTACATATGTATGAATGTCGGAATGCTTGTATATGAGTGTATGCATTCTTAGCATACTCGACAACATGTACAGACCCATAGTATACTTAAAACGTATACAGAAGCATAAACAGAAGCACTCACGTGCAACATGCGAAGTTTGAGATCAGCTGTCCGGCATCGTGGCAGGCTCTCTCCGCTCGAAGACCTCTCAGACGACGGAGGCCTTTGCAGTGGTCACGGTGTGTCACTCCAAGGGCTCTGAATCTCTTCACATAGGTAGGTATACGATATAGGTTTCGGTTTTGGTATAGGTATATACAGAGGGCTTTCCAGGGTTACGTGTCTAAACGAATATGCACACAAGCATACATACACCCTACATGCATACATACATACATACAGACATATGTATGTATGTATGTATGTATGTATGCATGCATGCATGCATGTATGTATGTATCTATGTATCTACGTATGTGTATGCGTATATATGTATGTAGGTATGTACACATGTACGTGGATATGTGCTGGTTTTCATATCAGGGTTGAAGAAACTCGAATGCGAATTTTTGTCGCGCCACAGCTCAGCTCTGTCTGCTGTGTAGCGGGTCTTCAGATCCACCAGATTTTGTACTTTCTGTCGGTTTCTGTTGTCCGTGTGTGCCTGTGCAGGCTTTGGAGCAAGTTTCCCGCGGCAGTCGTATTGGCCCCGGAACGCATGAGCTGCAGGCATCTACCGACTTGGCCATGATCCTACCAAGGACCATCCGAGGAAATTGACATCAAAGTCGTGTCCGATGGCGCCACTGATGTGAACCTTAGCCGGAAATTGTCGGCTTTGCACAACACAGCATGCTCGCGGTCCCATGCTGGAAACATTTGGAGCCCTTTTTCAGTGTTCATGGTTCATGCGCTGCATAATTTGGACAACAAGCCAAGGTCAAGTGGCGGTGCCAGTCCGTCGATGGACCTGTCCTTAGCCGGGCTGAGCGCATGCAAGTTAATGTGTCGTGCTTGAGTAGGGCACGACGAGGGGCCTTGTATGCTAAGTAGCAATCCACATGACGTCCTATCGGAGTTTGACACGGAGCAGCAATCCACATGAAGATACCAGGATCGATGCAGCATGATCGAACATGTCAACCTGATTTGTCCCGATGGAGGGATATCCCTCGCGGGCAGTCGTGTTTTGGGGTTTGCTGCTGATGCGAGATCAGGAACGATGTCAATCACATTCTCTACTCTATAATTATGTCGGCGAGACTTTGCGTGTGTTCGCTTGTGGCCCACATAGGAGAACACCCGCTTTCCGAGGTCAAGCAAAAGACGAAAACATTGAGGCAGAGTCCGAGTGCAGAGCATAAACACCTTTGCCGCGTAGTTTGTCCATGTTTGTCCGGAGCTGGAACCGAGCAAAACTCACACGGTCTGCCGATGGTTAAGCAAGCAGGGAGGTATCTGGGGAAGAGGAATTCCGCGTCGGGCTTGTCTCTAATATGGCCTGTAAGCATCCTCGCGGTGCCCCAACAGCCCCCAACTTAGACTGCGGCAGCCGCCGCGGACCGGAGCACCCGAGTCCAAGAACCGAAGGCCGGCCGTATACACGCCTCAGACGCGACTTGGCCGTCTCGTCCAGAATCAGGCGCGGGCATTCTCTCGTCATTCGCCATCTCCCCACTTTGAGCACTATGGAACGGCGTGCTGCATGGGGCTTGCTCGATTGCAAAGATGTGTCTGACTTCTGACAGTTCTTCGACATCTTCTACAGCCTTTGCATCCTCGTCAATTGCTTTACGCTTCTTGCCTCAGACGACCGGGACTGGTGTTGGTGTGTTTTCGCGGCCAGTCGAGATTCGGTTCAGCCGAAGCAGCTTGTAAACTTGATTTGTATGGGCTTTCTAACTTCGACGGTATGACTCTATCATTGGTGAGACCGTACCAGGATTTCAGGAATTGGGGCACTGCAGACAGAAGCAGAGACTGATTGTACCGGTCGCCTTAGTTCCCGTATGTTTCCGTCAGACCTAATCTTCCTGGTCTCGGAGAAACTGTCAGCAAGTTTCCGCATTGCTATCCCGAAACCATTAATGCACGTATTGCCGGTTGATACAGTCTAGTAGTAGCCCTCGCCTGGAGTTTCCGAGTGCTCGCGGTACTGGTACATATGCCATTATCTCTAGCAGCTAGAGCCTATATGGGCGCCAAAAGCTGCAGAACATCTGCATTTTGTGCATTCTAGCTTTATGGTCCTCCTACTTTGTAGCAAACTAAGGATGGGTCTTCAAGCAGACATGTTGGTCAATGCCCCCGGCTTAGTTGCGCTGATTGGTACGTTGGTGTGAGACACACTGCGAGACTGCCCTGTGAGGAGGAGGAGTATTCTGATGGCATTGTCCTCACTGTGAGGATAACAGAGCATGCGCTCGTTGCTCCTTGGCCCAAGGTAGCTACAGCCAAAAATATATTCAGTGAGTCATGGACGTAGCCATTGGGAAGCTCTGCACCCCCAGCTTTAGTCGCAGACTGCAGGCACTCTTCACCTTCGAGATTTATGCGCGGCTGCGCGTATATGGTCGATGGTATTTTTCCCTGACTAGATTGGAAGGCTTCTGACTTGCACTGGTCACTGCATCAACTGAAGATACGTCAGAGCATCAACCGTTTGTAGTGACGAATCTTCGGGCAAGGTTGGATGAACTTCCTTGACGTCACGGACCTGCATTGGAGCCGAAAACACTTGGGCTTACAGTGTTTTAGCCGTAGGTTCCTTTGGGTGGAGAACTAGATCGGGATTCTAAATCCCGAAATTCCCAACAGGCAAAGACTCTGCTAGTGACGTCGCTGACAGAAGCCAGGTCAATTGCCTGCGCATTAAGGCGATCATCGTGGTACTCTCTGGCATACTCTCTGGCTGGATTCTGCCTTTAGTGCTCCTCCTTACGGGGGAGGCGGACTTCTATGCAGGACATGGTGCCGACCACTTTTCCGGTTCCTTCATGCTTGTCGGCCAGTTCAATCTGCATCATCACATGAAAGCTGTAACAGGAGAGATGCGGATGCTTTCTGTCTTCCGAGCTCTGAGATTGCTGAGAATAGTCCGCGTCATCCAGCAAATGCCGATGTTTAGAGACGCTCGGGCCAAAGTGGACAGTGTGTGCGTTGGATCGCAAGAGGCTACCATCTCGACAGCTTGAGCCTTTTGCATGCCTTTCCAGGAAGTGTGGCTCCTCTTGAGAGGGTTGACGAGCTCCCTGCGCACTTTAATTTGGACGGTGGCAGTTATTTTCGCCAGCATCTCAGTCCATGACCCGAAATCCCAAACCATGTGTCCGAGTTGTGAGAGCGTAAAGCCCAATTCGATGGTATCGCTGCACAGCTGCCATGCATGCCTCTGAGTCTCATGGATGCACATTTTTGCGGCTGTTGCTGAATGCTGCGAAGAAGGCTGCTGTCTGGCGGCCTTCCACCAAGCAGTAAACATCATGTCCCAGAGGTTAAGTGGCACAGACGTCCTCGGCCAAGGTGCTGACATACATTTTTGCTATTCTGGGCTGCTGGCTCATCAGCAACGAGATCAGAGGAATGCGAGACCCGGCGGCTTTCGCCATGCTGGACCAGGCGTGAGTTGCTTCATGACTATGCAAATGCGGCAACTTGCACGACGACCCTGCGGCATGATGCAACTTGTGTTATGCTCGTCGGAGCAGTGCACGGAGATGTGCAGCCCCCATGTGCAGCACATGTCCAGTTCTATGACAGGAAAGGCAGGAACAGCTGGAGCCGACATATAGGATGGTGCAGGGCATCGCGCCGCTGATGCAGCCCCTTGCCAGGGATCTGTGGAGAGAGTGCAAGCTCTGGATTTTTTTTGGACTGTCGCCGGGAAGCTGGAAGTCTTTGTGCCTCTGTTGCCAGTTGAGGCTTCTTATCCAGTTCTTAACGCTTGACTCATGGAACTCCAAGATGGAACGGATCATGCTGCACTTGGCCTGCACCTGGAAAGCTCAGTGCTCGAAGGCTTCTGTGCAGCTTTGCGGCGGAAGTCATCTGGCAGGTTCACGCCGACATGTTTGGTATATTTCTATATGTACATTGCGAGGGCCTCAGCTTGACGGCACTCTACAGATGTGGGTTCAAGCACCTGCGCCCAAGTTTGAGACTATGTTGGCAGGATGCCAGGATTTTTCAGGGAATAGTGCAAGTTCGTATGTGTCGGAGGCTGTGGCAGTTTTCGTGTTAATGAACCTCGTGACGGCCATCATTGCCGGGAGCCAAGTTGGCTTTGAAAAGAAAGACTCTGAGGGCCAAGATGGCTCGGATCCCCTCTGTCCAGCATGCTCCATACGGGAGATCTGTGAAGCTTAATGCTGTTGTCTGAGGTGGAAAACGCTATGTCTGCCTCCAGAATGGACGAGGACCAGCGGTTGAAGCAGAGGCATAGCTGCACTGTAACTCGATGTGTGCCTGGCCCCGAGGCAAAAACCCGAGGTTGTTTCCTGCCCCTTCTAGGGTAAACAATCTCGCCATCAATAGCCTGAAGCAAATATCAGCAAGAACTTGAGTGCTAATGTCTCGCTCAGTGCTCCACCCAACCCTCGGAGAAAAATGTTTCTCACAATGCCAGACTACGTTAGAACTGAAAGTAATCAGTTTGATAAAGTTTTCCAGCCTCAAGTCACAGAGTATGCCAATGCAACCCGCGCCAAGGATGGAAGAAGTCAAGCGCAAAGAGCTCAAAGAGCTTGAGCACCTCGTGTTCGCAAGAGCAAGAGGAGTATCCCCCGTCTTCGGGCTTGTAGGGTGAGCCTTGGTCAGGCTGTGAGAGTAGAGGGGTTGGGTCACGAGGCAACTCTTCTATCTGATGGATGCAGATGGAGATGGCACCTTGGATTGGGAGGAGTTGCGCGGCAGCAAGGAGACGAAGAGATCGACAGCTTATGCTGTGTAAGGTTTGGCGTGCGTGCAGGACATTAAGGATTCTTCTCGAAGTTCAAAGGCTTTAAAGGCATGCGCAGCCGAGGGCACTCACTTGGCTTTAATTTCCTCTCTATAGTGACAATATGGATTTCTGTCACTTTCCCGGGCCGACTTCCCAAGCCCGGAGGCAAGAAAAAGTGATAATAGTAGCGACAACAGGAAGACTAAGTGGTGAGAAAAACACTAGCGGTCACTAGCGGTACTCAGGTTTGAGAATGCTTTCCATGACGAGGAGATGAGCCGGCTGCTGTGCTGCAATAAAACACGTCATGAGGATGAACTCTGTTCAGTGTATTACGACTTGTCAGGGCGCTAGCCTGCTCCCAACGGAGTGTCGCGGAGCGCGGAGCCCCAAGCAAACACGAACGACAGAAGCCCTCGCCAATTTGGAGGGTGTGGCGGGGCACGCTGGGGCGATTTTTTGCGCGGCTGCTTCCGCGTACTGAACCGGCGGAATATAAGAGATGTAAAGGGGCACCGATATTCTGACAACGATTCTGCCATGTTTAGACTTAGACCCGATGAAGGACTTCACCATGACGTGCGAAGTTGTGCAAGCACGTGGACCTGACGCAGTCAGAAAAGGAATTTCGGGCAAAAGTCGTGCGAGTAATTCCAACAGCCTGCGCAGACCGCATAGAGGTCAGGACCTATCCTTCCAGCAGCTGTTGGTTGGCAAGACAGGAAGAAAGCGAGAAAATCTTGGATCCTAGAGCTGCAGCAGGCCAAAGCACAGCAGCAAGGAATGCACATATGAGAAACCCATAACACGGCCAAGCCAAGACAAGTGGTAACCTGAGATACGCGGACCGGTCGACACTTTCTCGCCAAACCAACTCCGCATGTCTGCCGGAACAAGTAGTGTTCCATCATACTTAGGAGTTTCCGAAAACAGGGGGTACCTTATTTTGGGGTCCTTATAATAAGGGTCCTATTCTTTGGGGCACTATATTAGGGTCCCCTATTTTCGGAAACCCCCACTTGCCAGGTTCGGAGTCGAGTCTATTTCGGTCGAGGCAGCAGGCCCCGTGGTGAGCGGCTGCAGATCCGAGGAAATGGCGCTTGCTAGATTTCCAGCCCGAAGAGTGCAAGGCCGGGTTTCGACTTCAGGCTTCATGCGCCAGGGTTTGAGGTTTCCTCTGCTACTGGATAAATGGGAGGTTCCGACAATTAGGGTACTTTATTTTGGGGTCCTTATAATAAGAATCCTATTATTTAGGGTACTATAGTAGGGTCCCCTATTTTTGGAAACCCCCAAATGGGACCTGGCGGAAGGGAAGATGTGCATGGCCTGAAATGGTTGTGTTCTCGTCTGAGCCCCGCTTCGGTATGATGTTTCCAAGAGTCCACCTTCATCATCGGAACAACTGTTGTTGGCATTGCTGTTCTGCTTCTTGCAGTGGTGCCGGGCAGGAACTCTTCGATCTTCTCGATGACGGTGATGGTGGTATTGAGACCAAAGAGTTTTTCCATGGTCTGGCACGCATGAAGGGAGGCCGATCTGCTGTCTCGGCATGAGTGATGAAGCCCTACAGGGTGATGGGAAGGAGTTGACATGGGTGTGGAACATTGAAATGCATTGCAGTGGCAAGGTGCCCAGTCAAGAGACCTTATGCGAGTTGCACAAAGAGTTGCGACTCGGAGTGAAGTTTGCTCCTGTCTTCTCTGCAGTGCCTTGCTGTTGGTGGTAGTCGATTTGCTCTGTTATTTGCTCCAAGGACAGGTTGGGCAAAGAATTATCCAACCTATATGCCATTGTGCAGAGTTCTGCCTGGGACAATGCTTCGTCTGTCTCTGATGCTGACAGAGGCGCGGCACCAGCCGCGAAGGGTTTCCGGGCTCATGGTCACCACTCGTTGGTATGCACAAAACACCATGTCTTGGGCTAGTGCTGAGCAAAGCTTCTGTCAATGAAGGTCTGGCGGGCAGTCCGTGTGGAGATAGTTAACGGCAGTCTTCATTTGTGGCTACCAATTCTTTTCTGCTTTGGTTCAGTTCATACTCAAGCCACGGAATGCACTTCTTGCTTGGGCTCACGGACTGCCATGGTGTTTCTGCGAATCGTTGCGGAACATAACTCAGCATCTGCCACCCCAGGTATCCCCGAAGCCCCAAGAGGGAACTGGGCTTTCGGAGTTTTGGATTCTGAGACCTGGTGCCAACGTAGAGGCACGAAGCCCCAAAATTTGTTGGGGTGCTTTCTGCAGTTGTCTCCTCGAGCTTGAGGGAATGGGTGACAGACCCCGGTTGGTGTGCCTTGGGAACACCGGAGCCGCCAAGTGTGACAGTCCGAGCGTGCCTGTTCTCGACTGAGGCAATACGCCCAAAGGTGGCCGAGGTCGTGGCTTGGCCCGAAAAAACGGCCCATGCAGAACAAAGATGCCCAAAGCGTAACAAAGCAAATGCACGTGAGCCTACGTACAAGATGCAAATGGGTGACGATGGGTCATCACAATATATCATATGGCTGTCTGTGGTATGGTCTGACGTTTGCCTAGGTTTCTGTTAATATAGTTGAAGACCTTAGATCATGTAGCCCTAGCATCGTCTCTTTCAGTTTGCCGGAGGTTTGCCACCTGTTTCGGAGTCATGTTTTGTTTGCCGCATTCGGCTGGAATGATGCAACAAGTCTGCGTCCTCGTGATCTGCAGAGGGTGCGTGCCTGTACTTATACTTGCACCCGCCGTGGCCTCCCGCCTGCATGTTAGCAACGTAACTGTTATCACTCCTTGGCAGAGAGCCTTCGAATTAGGTGCAACCAAAGCATACAGGACCAAGCGCACTCACAATTAGTAAACACCCACGCTCTCATCATGAGGACCGAAAGCCGGAAGCGGAAGCGATGCTTGTCTGCACAAATCTGGTACCGGTCAGGCTTCCTTGGACTTGTGAGCTCCTCTCACATCCACCATAAACGTGGCGAGATTACGTTGAAACGCAAGACAACCGCAGAATGGTGAGCTGACAAGATGGTGAAATGTACTGAACAAGACGGAAGCATGAAGGGAGAGTGGGAACCAACGCGAATCGCTGAGCGCGCATGAGAAAAGCAGTGATGACTGCGGCTTCTGCCGTGGAGTCTGCCCAGGGAGGGTTGCGCGAGTGTCCATAAGCACAGAACGACTGGCGTGGCCGGTTAGTAGCGTTGCAGCACAGAGAACGTTGGATGTGTCAGAAGGCGACGAGCAAAGAGTCTCGTCTATGCTCCATTTCTTGACCGTGTTGGCTTGCTGAATGCTATGTCACCTGTGTCAGGAAAAGCCGCGAGGGCCGCGAAAGTCAGTCAAGTCGCCAAAGGTGTCGCTGGAGGAGGCTTCAGAATGCAACGTAGCATAGCGAGACTTCTGGCAAAAAATAGACCAAAGCAACACGATGCTTTGTAGTATGCTCTTCGCGGAAGAAACATCGCAGCCGAGTAAAGCAGTCCGTACATGGTAGCTAATTTTAACGCTACGCCGCCCGCCTCGGCTGCTGAGGGCCACAGGGCACGGTAGACGCCTGGATAGCGTTGTGGGAGGAACAAAGAAAATAGACGTCCTCAAGCTTGCCAAGATCCTCCAGAGTAATGCAAGCACGTCCGGTAGCAGCAAGCCGCTCGTGACATGGAGAGGGCAGGGCAGGGCAGGAAGGGAGGGAAGGGGAGGGGGAGCAGGAAGGCAAGCAGAAGGCAGAGAGGGGGAGTTGCGGGGGGCAGGGGGTAGGGGGGAAGGGGGGGGTGAGGGCAAAAACGCCAAACAACAGCAACAAAAATGAGGGTTTCCAGAAACAAAGGCCGACAAGTGAGATAAAATCAGGCGAAGCCAGGAGGGGGGGTGGAAAATGGACGCAAAAAGCGGGTGGGTCCAACCATTTCCGCTGCAGGGAGGAGGATTAGGTGGAGGGTACTTGAGGTAACCCGCAAGACGCCTGGGCCTGTGGCCTGGGCGGATTAATCAGTGCCCTTCAAGCGAGAAGGACAACCAAGAAAGATGGCGTGAGTTCTTGGTGGACGGCGTGCTGGCTACCATGCAAGGTGTAGTTCAATGGCGCAATATATGAGCAAGCCTGAGAAGCAAAAGTAGGAGGAAGAAAACAATCAGCTCCGACCGTTAAGAGTAGATGTCCTACATCGCCGCACTTTCAACGGGACCTTTGGCATCACATGGGCTTTCGAGCCTCCCTGTTCGCACGATCGCAGTGCGTGTTGCCAGAGTTCCTGCATCGATGCCCACTCGCCTGCAGGCAAAGAAGGAGCTCCAGGCGAAAAGACAAGCCCAGCTGGCCCAACTTCAGGCTCAGGACGAGACATTTCAGTTGCGAGCATGACACGCAAACTCCAAAAGCGTGCTGCCGATAGCCGTCGTTCACAACCCCTGGATGTACTGCACCTAGACGTTTTAGTTAGAAATCAGCTTCGTACAGGTATTGGGGTGCTTGAGTTTGAAGGTGGTTGGTGGCACGATTGAGTCAAGGATGTTGGTTGAAGCTAGGCTGTGGAGAGGGCATCTCCAATTCCGAACATCATGTCTTTTGCGAGGTACATGACGGTAGGCAGCCCTGTGACTGCCATAACGAGAATATACTTCCAGGATCAACGATAGGGCTCAACGGAATCTCCCGACTCTATGGCTTTGATACCTTTGGCACCCAGACATGCTCGGTGGCCCCACCACCGCCATCATCGTACCTGAGGCGACAAACACAGCAGGACTGGTGCAGAAACAGTACCGAACTAAGAACAGTTGAATCATCGGCGGTGGTTCAAAGGCGGGAATCGCACTAGTACAAAGCCATATAGAACAATAGCAGCAGCAATACTACTCTAAAGCAGACGAAGGGACATACATACATGCGAATCTGAGTGCAAGAGGCCCTATCCCAGTATCAAGAGTTCCGTCGCGGCGGCAGCAGCATTAGTGGTGCCAGTACCGGGAAACGGATAGCAGTAGCAGCAACGGTGTGTGCAGTCTGACAATGAGTTTTGCAATCACTCCGCGCCATTTCCCCCTTGAGGAGTCGAGCTATGGTGGCTCAGAAGCTTCTTCCTCCGCGACATCTTTCCGGTGAGCAAATACTGGGCGACAGAGGGGCGCGGCAGAAAGAGTTTCAGCAGTCCAGAATGCCACTCAGAGCAAGGAACGTGTGAATTGAATTGCAAGTCCGCTAGTGATTCACAAGCAAAGTGTTTGTGCTTGACTTCCTCGCCTCATCTCATCTGTCCGGTCGGAAGCAGGATCATGCCTTCAGCTGGCATCCAACACATCTCGTGTCTTTCACAAATGCGTGCTGGAAAGGTGCAGCCCAGGTGGCAGACCTAGTAGAGAAGCTGTTGCGATGAGTAGTGCATACTTGACGCAGCAACTGGAGTAACAGGTCACTCCGAAATTGTTCTACGCCTGGGTGACTTCAGCCGTGCATTCTCAGTGCCACCTGGGACTCGCCTCTTTTCGCGCCCTTGGCGAGACCCTTCCCCAGCTGAAGCCTCGCTCGGCGAGGACATGCCGTCTTTGGATGTTTCACCCGAGGTAGATCGAAGTTTTTGTTTCCGGATATTGCTCATCAGCATGATTGCTGGCTTTACCGAGCAGAGCGTGCAGCAGCTATTGCCACACCGTGCAACAGGTAGGACAAGAGCCAGGACTTTGCCGACAAACAGACACGATAAATTGATAGAGAGTGTTCATGGCTAGCAGCAGCAGCTGCTGCAATCGTCAGTAGCAAACTTTGCCCTGAATAGGGGCGACGTTTCCCACGTAGAACGGAGAGGTTTTACTTGGAAGCACGCGGGTGCTGCCATTTATAACTCTGTCGATGGTCATTCAATGAGATGCGGAGTTAAATTCACGACCGACAGAAACTACGTACTTGGCATAGAGCAGCTGGTAGCTAGCTCAATTCAAATTGTCTGCCGCACAGCCAGGATGACGAATGCAGATGCCATCTTTGCGTGCCCATTGGAAAAATGCTACACCGGCAGCACCGCTATCGCAGACGTGCCATGTGTGCGACATCCTTGAAACAAGGGGAGGCATGGCGAGAGATCAGAAAAAGCGCAGCATGGAGATTTGGCCTTGTCTCGCTGATCGAGTTACACACTGTGACATGAAGTGCATAATTCAGCCGGTAAGATTCATTGGACGGCAAACCTTGCCACCGTATCTTCATAGACTGAGAATCTGAAACGTCCATTTGAGGCCAGTCTTTGGTCTTTGGAACATCGCGCAACATCATTCCGAAGTTTGCCAGATGTTGCATGATGGTACACAGGACGAAGACGAAGACTGGAGTGTGTGGCAGGAAGCACAGATTCGTAACTGCTGTCTGCTAGCATAAAATAAACCTTCCTGGCTGGATGTAAGGCTACTGCTAGCCAGTCAGTGTCCATGTAGCAACGGTAACCTGGGATATTACGGTACGGGGACGACCGTGCTAGTGACCCTCAGCCCTAGACCCCGAGATCGGCCTTAAGCCGGATCCTGGGCAGGCTGAAATCTGGGCAGCTTCGTGCATGGGTCGGTGCCCAAGGTTGATCGGTGAGTGACCATGCTTGGTGACATGCTTTAGAGACCGACGCCGTTGCAGGAAATGTACACGGTTTTCGTTCTGTTTAAATTTGTTCTGTAGCTGCTGTGTCGCCGTGAGATTGGCTTTCTGATGCTGTCTGACTTCATCTCGACGTGTCCATGTCGTTGGAAGCAGCATTGGTTGCAGTCTGTTTCAGGACGCGTTGCATAGGTGGATGGATGGGTTGGATGGATGGATGGATGGATGGATAGAGACCGGGGTGTGCAGCCATGGGTCAGGCGTCATCCCTCCCGCCTTCGCAGCCCCTCCGAAGTCGTCATGGGGGCTCCAGTTGGAGTTCAGGCTCCCAGCGCCCCAGAGTAAGGCATCCACCAAAACCGTTCAAGCGCACCCATCCTCACCATGGCACGCGTCCGAAGAGATATTGTCTGCTCAGGGCAGGGGTATGTTCAGCAAGACAGTCGTGGTTCCTCGTAAAGGTGCATTATCCCAGTCATACACCGGGACGCGTTGCATGCAGGTCCCATGTACTATTTGTTGCATGGACCGTGCTATGAAGACAGCATTCTGTTCGGAGAAGCTGCCGCGGAACCCAGCCGAAGCTCGCAGCTTAGGTCAAAGCTCCCTGAGGCCCAAGGTGGGAAAAGAACTGTCTGTGCTGTTACATAAGCCTTGGATCCTGGATCTGTTTTAGGCAGGCATTTTCTATATCGGACGCATGTCGTGGACGTTTAATCACCAGTCCCACCCCGGTCATGACCGCGATAGCGCTTTTGGCACTTCTGCTCAATGTTTTAGTGGCTTCAAGTCCAGATTCCAGCTGCTTAAAAGTTACAGGTACTATTTTGGGGGTTCCTTATTATGTTTATTTAAGGGGCAAAGCCCAGAGGCGGGCAACGGAGACACGCTTCTGGGCGACCATGCCAAACCGCTTGACCCCTAGGACTAGACTTCTGAATCCTACCCATAAACTCTAACTTGTTAGCCCCTAGATTCATCCTTCCTTTCATTTCATTCATCCATCCATTCGTGCATGCATTCATTTCACTTCACTCATTCATTCGTTTCATTCATTCATTCATTCATTCATTCATTCATTGCGCACGCGCCAAGTGCTCATGATGCTCGCAGGGTGCCACCGTGGAGTCGCCCACGTGGGCCCCAAAACCCGCCATACTGTGGGGAACGCGAGGGCGAGGGAGGGCGGTGGGGGTTTGGGCACACATTGGAGGCCTGCAAATACTTCGTACTATGGGGGGTAAGAAAATATTAAAGGAAAGGTTTGGGGACGGTGGCGGTGGAGGCGGGGGTTTGGGCACACATTGGAGAGCGGATGGCAGATGATGGCAGAAGCAATTTGGCGGCTTCGTACTTCATGAGCCCTACCATGACGGGGGTTTGGAGCGGTGAGGGTGGGGCAGCTGGTTACAGCGCGGGTTTGGGCACGGGCGGCAGCGACGGGGTCGAGCGGTATCGAAACGCGGTGAGAGCGAGGGCGGTGGCGGGCTTTGGGCACGCATTGGAAATATTTCGTGCAAGGAAAGGCCGAGGGCCTGGTGGGCGATGAGGGCGGTGGGGGCGGCGGGGGTTTGTGCACGCATTGTTCAGGTCTGTTTCTTCCCGAACCAGGGAGGTGATGGGGGGCGGCGGGGGTTTGGGCAGGCCGGTAGCAGCGGTGGGCGCGGTAGGGGCATCGGTGGCTTGGGGTTGGAGACCAGTAAATACATCGTAAACGAATAAACATTCTGGGGATTTCACTTCCGCCGCCCCGGACAGGGGGGGGGGTCGGCGGATAGTATCATAAAGAGTTCAATGGCTCACACAACCCTATTCTAGTGATTAAGGCCCGGAGTCCTTGCAGTGCTCCGTCATCGGCAGGTCGTCGAAGAAGAAGGAGATGCAAGGCCATGCTGCTCTCTGCATCCCCTAAGTCCCTCGGCGAGTTGATGCGGCTGAATCTACGGATTCCTCAAACCGTACTACCCCTGTTCGATGTCTCACACTCGTGGGGGGCCGCTTAGACACGGCACCTGCAGGCCGGATTCTGGTGGCATAGAGCCAGTGTCTCCGTACCTGGCCGTGAGGAAGAAGGAGGCCCAACACTGTCACATGCTTTGTCAGCTTAGCTTCGGGTTAACATACGGCTGCTTGCAGGCAGAACTGGTGCGCCTCGAGTTTCTGGCCACCGCCTTGTTCTGTCAGTTTGTCGGCTGAACTGCGTGGTGTTGGTTTTCAACTCTCAGAGTCTCTTTTGTAGGAACGCCTGGGAAAGCAATCCGTAGCAAACCGCGCGCGTATGTGTGTGTGTGTGTATGCGCTCGCTTGAGGAGCTTCTGTGTGAGGTTGCATTTCAAGGCTCAGTATGGCAGTCAGGCAGAATTCAAGCCGCTGGATGCATGGCGAGCTGCACAGACACAGCTCCATAAGTACCAAAAAGTGCCACACAATCTATGATGTCGTCGTCGATGCTGCCAGAGAGCATCCAAAATCTGGCAACTGTCACCTGTGTGCACACTGGAACACAGAGCAGCAATAAAGGAAACAATGTGTGGACTGGCGTCTGGATTGCCCATCCAGGGAGAGTCACATGTTGTGCCGGCACTGATTCTGGCGATTTGAGCCTTAAGTTCGCACCCAGATCAGATGCAGAAATAGTTACGTAGACGTCTAAATAAGTTTCAAGACACACACACACACCCACACGTACATACATACATGCATGCATGCATGCATGCATGCATGCATGCATGCATGCATGCATGCATGCATACATACATATACATACAGATATAGACATATCTACGCACAGATGTATATACACAGAAAATGTGTGTGTGTGTGTTTGCATGTATACGTGTATATATATATATATAGACGCATGTATATATGTGCACTATGTGTGATACACATAGCATGGTACAACACACATATTCTCTTATACTACCGACGATTAAACCACAGTTTAGTATAACACAGTATGACATAGATGATATGTTATAACACTATAACATAAAATCATGTGCCTTATTACAAAATAAATTAGCATAATATAGTTTAATTTGATTCAGTACACCACAATAACACGACATAAAACACAAGGTATTTCAACATCTTCGAATTTAATTTTAATATGATACGATGTCATACAACCAATTTTAATATAGCATGGTTCAATATGTCATAATATAACAGAGCATGATACAACTATCTAAACAGATTGTATATATATATATATATATGTATAGATATCTATATCTACATATATATATATATACACATATATATATATATAGCTACCTATGTGTGTATGTATTTATCTCATGCACAGCCTTCGGCTCAAAAGCTGGCACAAAGGATTGCTTAGGCCCCCCGAGAGACCAGAGATCGGACGGTCTGCGCGTACAACAAGGACGGGGCCTGCATGGCATGGTGCATCGTTCCGTTCTCATAGAGCTACCCTAAACCCTAAACCCTAAACCTCGCCTGGATTGTCCGAGTGTGAGCGCCGAAACCCTAAACCCCGCTTGCTGTCTAGGATGTTCCAAATTTTCTGAGCCTTTGAGCTCCGGAGGCGGCACCTTGCATGGCCTTCGGGAAGGGCAAGAACGTGGGTGGTTGCATCACGCCCGATGTTCAGTTTTTCGTCCGCCGCTTAGTGTGCTGATGGATGTCATTAACCTCCCGTCACAGAACATTTCGGGCTTGGGCATACTCCCACATCTGCCGAACGCGTTCTGAGGCCCGCTCCTCTACACACTCAGCGCCTGGCCTCGGTGGAACCTCCAGTGTGGGCACTGCCACCCCTGTGATTGGAAGCATGGCCGATGTTGGACTTGCACCACAAGATGCTACAAGTAATTGCTCGTCTGGGCCATTTCTGCCGAAGGTAGTGGCCTAGCAGAGTGACTTGCGAGAAGAATTACACTATGGTTACACTTGTTATGTGAGTCATGAGCATGAGTGTTAATAATGCTTTTCTATTCGGCATCATTGGTAGCAGAAACCGTATTATGCTAGCATCATGGTAGTCGTGGTGGTAGGAGCAGTTGCAGTTGCAGTAGTTGTAGTAGTTGCAGTAGTAGTAGTAGTAGTAGTAGTAGTAGTAGTAGTAGTAGTAGTAATAGAACTAGTACTAGTAATAGTAGTAGCAGTAGTAGTAGTAGGAGGAGGCGGAGGAGTAGTACTAGTACTAGTAG